ATACGCATGTATATGTCCATACTTAGCAAGAATATGTGTCTGACAGTTGTGAGTTTTTTGCTGATAGAAAAATGTGTGAAATGAGTGAAAAAACTCATATAATAAGTTCCTTATTTGGGACAGAAAAAGGAAGGATTTACATTAATATAAAATACTCTTCCTTTTAAATTAAATAAATGGGCCCTACATTATTAGTCTGCTGGTGCCCCTGTATTATTATTTATATCACCCTAGTCTAAGATTTAGAATTTTCTGCAGGCAGTAGCAACAGTAGCATCTTGCCAGAGGCAGTGAAATTGCCTTAACCTGAACACCTGCTGTATTGTCTGCTCTTCCCTCTTCCCATGTTTTTTTGGAATCACCTCCTCTTGATTTACACTGTCACCATGGGAGCAGTCAATTTGTTCCTCATGTTCTCCGGTGGGATGGCCCATGCTGGACAAATCATGCAAGCTGGGGCAATCGCTTTCTTTTCTAGGAATGTTAAAACCAAGAAGGAAGACAGCGCTCTCAGTCTTGTCTCTGTGGCTCATGCAAGCCCTAAGGAGCAGGTTAGCAGATGATCCCAGGTCTGCACATGGGATCAGATGTACAGGTTGCAGGAGATGTGAAACATAGCACCCCCAATGATAAATGTGGCTCGGGCTAGCACAGCCCGGTCTGTGTGGCCCTCAGCAACACTGAGAAAACTGGGAAGTTCGCCACTGATGAATCCTATCACTCCATTCAGGTGCCACTCTCCTCTTCAACGCTTCATATGAGCCCCCATTTGCTCTTAACTGGCTTTTAGTCACTGCTGTTAGCTGTTCATTTATGTTAGTGGAACACATAACGGCACACAGGAAGGTTTTAGCTTGTGGAGAAGGGGGTCATCTTTCTATTTCTCACAGGCCCATGGGATGTGAAATTCTAAGCCTCCGATTGAGTGGGGCAGCAATGTGGGAGAAGAGACCCCAAGCTAAACCAAGACGGGGCACTGGGTACAGGAAGGGGAGGCATTCCCTCCCTGCCCCATTGCTCAGTGGTGCTGAGAAATCAGCAAGCTGGCTGGAAAGCTCCGTTGTTTTGTATTCAGCCCACTGAGGCTCCCTACTCCTTGCATTGTTTATTGATATCCTATCTTCTCGTCTCAAAGCTTGTTCAGAGATTTTTAAAACAAGGCATGGAAAAGAGGTGGAAATAGTTCTTTTCTTGAAGACAGGGCTCTGGTGACCCAGACACTACGTGGCTGCTCTGGTGGGCATCTGTGGTTTTTACCACCTGGCATTTCCTGGTAACAGAAGGATGATTTTCCCCTAAGGAACCACGCTGACCCCACTCTCCATGTGTTTCCAATGGAGCTGACTCCCAGCTGGGTGCAAGCATTTGACACAGACTCGACCAATCAGAACATCACAATCTCCTGACTCGACTGAGTGATTGAAGACTGGTCACACGACCCAATCAGTGTCAATGAGATCCTGTGAGGCTTGTGGTAGGACCCCTGGGAAGATGCATACTTTGTTTTTCCTTCTAGAACTTTTGGCGATAAGGAAGAGATTGGCCTAGACTTCCAGGGATCACCTTGTGGAGTCTGAAAGTGAAATCAAAGACCTAGAAAGGCAAAACTGAGAGATAAAGAGAAGCCAAGTCTTAATGACACCTTTTGGCCTCCTGCATCTGGTTGTGCCTGAAAGCCTCCTCTACTGGATCTTAGTCATATATAAGTCAATAGATGATTTTTATGTTTCAGCCAGGTGGGGGGCTGGTTTTCTTTCTTTGTTTTTGTTTTATCTCTTTGAAAGAACCCTCACTATCACCTCACCATCTCTCTGTGACTGAGAAAACTATACAATCTCTCAATTACATAGGGCTTAATTTTTTTCATTCATCCATTCATTCACTCATTTAATACACAAAACTTTAGTGCACATCAACAAGCATCACTCATTCACTATATTCAGAACATTTGTAAATCGAAGAAGGCAGCATGTAATTCCAGCTCAGCAATCCCAGTTTCAGTCTCCACGTGTCTCACTGATTTGGGTCACGTGCCCAACCTTGGATCAATCACTCTGGCCAGGAGAATGTGATGCTCTAACTGGCCAGGTTGGGTTATGTGATTTCCATGGGACCTTCTCATTCCACCCTTTTAAGTTTACAAATAGATTGGCTTTCAAGTTTAACAGAAATCCATTTTAACAGCACAAGGAAAGTCTATACAACTGAACGTGGCCATGCATTCTGGAGGCCTCAGATTTCTTTGACACCCTGAAAATGCGGATGCCTACGGACACAAGTCTCATTCGGATGAAGCTATTCAGTCTTTTGTTGAAACTTAGATAATGTTAAGTATCATTTTCTAACTTTTGGGGACTGTATATGGGCAGCGTAGTAATTTTATTGCTGACCATGTCCTCATTTCTCCCATAACTCATCACAGAAAGACAAGAGGCTGCTCAATGTCCTAGTCACACTAAATGTTCTTTTTTTAAAATTTTATTATTAGTTTCAGGTGTACAGAACAATGCAATAGTTATCCTTTTCACCCTCACAAAGTAACGACCTCCCTCCCCCCTCCACGCCTGATATCATGCTTATCTATTACAATTCCATTGACTCCATTCCCACTCTCTACTCCACGTCCCATGACTATATGTGACTTATATAATTATAGTTGACATACATTTTTATTCAACATCAATTTCAGAAATACAGTGCAGTGGTCAGGCCTCTATACCAACCATGAAGTGATCTCCCTAACAAGACATGAGTCCAACTGGCCTCCTAAAAAATATTTACAACATTATTGACTATATTCCCCAGACTGTCTTTTCTATCCCTGAGGCCATATTGTTGTTACCAATTTGCATTGTCTCATCCCTTCCCCTTCTCTTTCATCCCCACTAGCAACCCTCTGTTTTTCCTCTGTGTCTCTGAGGCTACTTCTGTTTACATTTCTCATTTATTCAGTTTTTTACATTTACACAATGGAGTATTATTCAGCTATAAAGAAGAAGGAAATAGTGCCATTTGCAACAATATGGATGGAACTAGAGAACATTATGCTAAGTGAAATAAGTCAGTCAGAGAAACACAAATACCATATGATCTCACTTATACATGGATTCTAAAAAACTAAATGTTCTTTTAAAGAATGATATATAACTGAGCTGAGGGAGAGAAGTGAGGGGCTTCTTAATTGAAGGTAAGTTTAGGCTGCTAAGTTTCACCCATTAATGGAATATTCTAAATTAATTACAGTGGTGAAGACTAGGGCAACTGTATAAAAACTTACCTACTATTTCCAAGCAGATCAGAAATATCTTGGATCTTGTAAGACTTCGAACAGATTTATTTTTTTATATAAGAAGTAAAGAAATGTTGAAAGTCATTCCTAATGAAAACCCATCTTTTTGTTCTATTATGCATTGATGAAAGAAGTTTCATGATCATTAGAATGCTTGAAGTCTGGATTCTTTTTAATAAATATTACATTTCTACCCATTAAGAGGAGGCATTGCAGCCAGCCAGATTCGAACCCAGTTTTGATTCCCTGTAGTGTTTCCATCAGGGGTTCTAGGACTTAACTCCTCTGAGCCTGTTTGCAGTGCTGTGAGAAGAGTGCTTCACCAGCAAAATGTAATGTCAGGCAAAATAAAAGCAATGATCTTCAGATCCAAAAAAGACAGGCTAAAAGTGAGCAAATGGGATGATTATTCTAAAACAAGGATGATTGTGGCTTTAATTAATTGAAAGGAAAGTGATGGTATTTTCTGCCACTTCATCTATTTTCCACATTCAGCATTTGGGCATTTAATTATTGTCTTTATCTTCTCAATTGCTTAAAACATGCCGTTCCCCATCTCAGTGGGAAATGTTACCTTCTCAACTGCTTAAAACAGACATCATTCTTGGTTCCCCTTCTCGCTCTTTTTCACTCTTACTTTCTACTCTATCTCCAAGATTAATCTAACTTTCTTTTCAAATATCTCTTGAGTCCTCCCATATTTGCCATTAATTCTGTTACTTTCTTGGCTCAGGGGATTAACCATTGAATACTTTCATAGTTGTGTATACTCTTTTTTTTATTGCTTTCTTATTTTATTACAGAGCTATGCAAACCCTTTATAAAAAAATCACAAGAAATCTATGCACAGTGAAAGGAAACGATACAGCATAGTTACAATTCCATCTACATTTCAGATTCTTATTAAAAAGGAATTAGAAATGAGACTATAAAAAGCAAACAAAATTGCTTTTTTGTTTAAAGTTACATCAGCTTTTGCAAAATCATCTTACAGTGTTCCAAAATTAAAAAGTATCGGGGATATTTATTTTCAACCAAAGAATTATTTCAGTAATTATCAAGCACCACCTTCCAGAGTATTCAGTACATAGCAAATACTAAATCAATATTTGTTCCATTGAAATTAAAATGACAAAAATATTATCATTAAAAGTGAATAAATTATGGGAAAGAATGTGCTGATGGCCCTCAGGGGTCAATGGGCCCCAATTTAGAGGGTCAGGGGCTACTTCTAACATTTGTGGAGCCCCAGAGAAGAGCAAAATGGAGGCTTGGATAACAAAAGTTTAAATATTTTAGTTTTAAACCAAGTTTACTTAAAATGTTTTAGCTTCATATCTTGGTAAATACATCTTCATCATAACTTAGAAGACCAGACTTGAATTTAGAACTATTGAATCCTTCAGACTTCTGCTCTGAAATATATATGATGGTGCTAGGAAAACTCAGGGGCTGCCAGCTTTGCCCCCGTAGTGCATGTCAAGTGCTCCGAGGCACCTTGGATGCCCAGGGCTGGGTACACTGGCAGTGCATGGTGGATGGACCCAAAGAAGCCCACACATGCCTTGGAAGTGGGTTTACTCTTTAGTTGTAGTGTGGTCCTGGAATTGGGTTAACTCTTTAGTTGTAGTGTGGTTTACACATATAATTTAATTCTATTCATCACCTCTTCCTCTTAACAACTAACACCTCTTGATTTTTATCCACTTACATGATTCTTTTAGGTTCTGTTTTCTTCATTGACTTCCAGGAGAAAACTTTCACGTTCTGTTTTTTTCTGCATCTGTATTGTAGGATAAAAGTGAAATCCATCAGTGGTTCAGAGACATGTGCTTCTTACAACATATCTATCTGTGAATGATACTGAGAAAGAGTCTGCTCCAAAATCTAGTGGCTCAAACAACAATTTATTTTACTTTTTCACAATTCTTTGGGTTGGCTGTGTGGTTCCACTGCTAGTTTTGCCTGAGCTTGTTCATGTGGCTGCATTGAAGTTGGGGGTCAACTAGGCTGCAAAGTCCAGTGTGGCCTGACTCACATGCCTGGCATTAATGCTGGCTGTAGACCCACCTCTCCACATGGCCTCTTACCCTTGGGACACTAGCAAGCTTCCTTCCATGTCTGGTCAGGGCAGCATTCGAAGAGGGCAAAAGTAGAACCTGAAACGTCTCCTAAACTCCAGGCTGTAGGATCCCCATAACATCACTTCCATTATATTCTATTTATTGGTCAAAGCAAGACACAAGGCCAGCCCACATTTAAGGAGTGGAGAAATACAACCCACCTTTAGATGGTCGTAGTTACAAAATACTATGGCCATGTTTCTCCAATCTGCCATCGAATCTTAGTTTCTTTCTTTGTTTACCTGAAGAGTAGATTATTAAAAAGTATTATGTAGATGGTTTCAGCACATCACCTTCCCATTCTACATTTCTGTCTTCCTAAGTTTAAAATAGTTCATTTCAGATGTCAATAGTGGATTGTATAGCAAAATTATGATTTAATAATTACAAAACAATAAGAAATCTAAGCTTCTAAGATTTTTATTGGAATTTCACCTATAAATTTATGCTTTGATATTTAAAAAACATAATAGTAGATAATAATAATTTGTGGCAATAAGACATATATACCTAAGACAACTGGAGAATAAGTTGACACCAGACACCTTATTTCAAATGATCCTTGTCAATGATTCCTTGTAAAAGAAGGACCAGGAAAAGACAAGAACTCAAGGTTTCCTATTACTAGAGAAGAAGTTGAGAGTGAAATTGAAAACACGTTTAACATTACTACTAATACAATAAATGCAAATGCCACTAAACTGCTGTCTGTGTCTATGAGTTTTTGTTTGTCTTGTTCCTTTGTTGTTTTCAGTATTATATTCCACATGCACGTGAAGTCATACGGTTCTCGACTTTTTCTGTCTGACTTATTTCATTTAGCATTATAATCTCAATGCATTATTTAAAAGTCTTTCCTTAATGACACTGACTATTAGAATATGCTCATGCTTACTTATTTTTGTTACTTTGTAAGAGATAATATTTCCTCCTTAATACCTAGCATATACCTAATCAAGGGTAAAATTTACCAACTCACCCCAGAAAAATTGTCCAATTCTTTATGTTCCTTACTTTTTATAAGTCCTTTTCCATACTCTGGTTTCTCTTCAGATTGCATAAATCTTTTGCCTTTTTATAAGTCCTTCTCCTCCCTCTCCTTTATTTACAATGTCCCATTCTTCCCTACACAGTATTGTATTTTATTTTTCCTAATCATTTACCTTCGATTTTATTTTCCTCACTCATTCCCAGATATTTTATGGATCTATCTGTGTCAGCTGTTTTGTCAGTCTCCACATTAAAGGGATATAAAAAAGGGAAGCCCAACTGAGAATATCTTAATAAGCCAATAGCAATCTATCTCCAAGAAAGAAAAAATTTGCTCAAATCCCCAATCCTACTTTTCCAAGGCTGTGGGAGCCCTTCTGACCCATTTTTGGTATTTGCAATTCAAAACTCCATTTCCTGTATCCAAACTCCAGCGTCTTTGTGCACGTCACATTCCCATTAAATTTAATGGCATCTTTGGGTATAAAATATATGGTGTCTGACATTTATGCGTGATGTGTGAATGGGGTTGTGTCTGAAGCTTTAGTTCAGTTGCTGAGATTGCTTTATATCTTTTGATTTCTGGATCATTTTGCTGCATTTCAATAGCTGCCATTGTGGTTCTACTTGAAAAATGTTCATTTTGCACTTTTTAAAGCAGATGCAGTTCTGCATGGTTGAGCGCATTCACACTGCTTCCAAGACTGGCTCTTTTTGTTAGATGCATTGCTTTTGTTTCCTTCTCTTTCTTGTTCCTTCGCTGCTTCTTCCTAGTCCACAAATAGTTCTTGCTTTTTGCCTTTACATAGGCCACATTCTTTAAAAAATTTTCTTCTGAAATACTATTCATCCCATTCAAGAGCATTTCACCTCAAATATTCAAAACTCTTTTCCCCTGGAAAATAAATAACTTCTGACGTATGAGGTTTAACCAGTTTCTCATAGGAGATATGTTTTAGGGTAGAGAATATTCTGGTCTGAGTCACTTGTCTCATAATCCCTAATGGCACAGAGGGTGACATTCCTCTTCCGTGATTCTGTGCCCACCTAAGTTCCCTGTCAACCCTCCGCGGATAGTTCAGAAGGATGATATGTGAAGTCTGACAGTCCACTCGTTCTCTCCTCTCTATGTGTCTGTGATTTAAGGTCAATGTCATGGGACAACTGAATTCTTCTTCCCTCAGGAGAGCATGCAGAGGGCAACATAATACTTGGTTAGCTGAGAAGCTCTTTTTTCCCTGTGAGAGGAGGTATGAGACTTCTAAGAGTACAGTGTGAAGGGGCAAATGCCCACGGTGGGAGGAAGGTAACAACTAACTACAGTACTTTCAGAATGAAGTGTGTGTTAAGCTCGTGTGTGTTTCAGCTGTTATGATTTTAGTGCAATGGAGAATTTGGAATCTGTCTCTGCGTGATTAGGTTTACCCAAGCTGGAGAGCATGGTATTTAGCCCGATGGCCTTTCCATGGATTTGTACACAGTGGTTCTACTATGAGTCAACATGGAACAATAGAAGGACTACTGGTACTGGTGTCAGAGAAGCTGAGCTCTGGAGTAGGCTTGTGTGTTCACTTGTGAAAGGGGAATTACTGCTTTTGAACTGCCTACCTCAGATGAGGTATTATGTGGTGTGTGTGCTTAGAAAATTGCCACAAGCTATACATACGAGTATATATAGTCATCCTTGACATAATCGTACAAATGTAAAGGATTATTACTTCAATGCACATCAGTGTTAAAGCTATTGCTACCATGAATACATTGACAAGCTTCAAATCTTCTGGTTTTTTTTTTTTAAATTGGGGAACAGTTGTGTTTTTCCAAGACCCATCAGCTCCAAGTCAAGTAGTTGTTTCAATCTAGTTGTGGAGGGCGTATCTCAGTGGCCCATATGAAACTCGAACTGGCAACCTTGGTGTTATGAGCACCATACTCTAACCAACTGAGCTAACTGGCCGCCCCTGACAAGCTTCAAATCTTTATTGTCAACCCCAGTCACCCTCCTGAGCTCAGATCTGTATTTTCAACTATCTGCTCAATTCAATTGGGTATATCTCAAGGGATACTGTTATCTTTTGAAACTGCTCTTTCCCCTGTATTTTGGTTAATGAAACTACTATAGTCCTCATCACTTCAGACAGATATCTGGGAAGTATCCTCTACTCTCTTTGAGTAAGACCCTTGTATCTGCCTCTTAACTCCATCTGTTCGTCTCTGGTACTATCTGTGCCCTAGGTTAGGGACCCTGTTATTCTAGAAGAAAGAGACTTCTTGGTTAAGGATGAATCTCTTGAAATTAAGCATTAGCTTTCCAACCCATCAAATATGTCTATAGGGAGAAAATCAACAATAAGGATCAATACTTTGAAATTCATTCCTCTTACGTAGTGGAGGAATTCCAGAAAGAAGTCAGGGTATACAACAATTTCAGTAAGTACACTCAATTTTCTGCAACAAACATAATCTAGCAAGTGAAAATTCCTATAACAAACAAATAGTGAGTAAAATATATCTAACCGCAAACATACAAAACAAGCTTGAAGTAACGTGGACATTAAGGATTATTTATATTCCATAGGACAAAACTACAAATCTTAGTGGTTAGAAAGCAAAGTATTATAGGAGATCTTTGTCCCCCTTTTAGCAAAGTGGCCAGAATCTTAATTCCAAAATAACAATGTATGCAATGCTATAGGTTTAATTGTGTTCACTGTACCTGACTAATTTTTTTATTTAGCATGCTTTTGTGTTAATGGGCTTGCAAATAGTTTTCAACTTTCTTCCATATTTTTATAACAAATCATGATGTTTAGCCCATTTCTTTGCAGTCTCAAAGGTTCTTGTTCCAACAACTTCCCTTCCTCTTCAGATTTCTCATAAAATGCAATTGTGATATATGCTCTGTGGTTTCAGCTGCAAATTTAATCAAATTTGAATCAAAATTTGGGTGGTCTTACAATTCCCTATTTCCACATAATCTCTTACTGGACTATTTAAATAGCCTTCTTATTGGTTCTTGGCTTCATCTTCCTCCAATTCATTCTCCAGATTGACCCCAATGATCTGTCTAAAATGCAAATGTAATCAAGTCACTTTTCTGTTCCATCCTTCAGTGGGGTTCGGAACCCTACAGAATGCAAATGAAAATGCTTAACATGGTATACAAGCTCACTATGATCTTGTCTCTCTTGTATCATTCATGCCCATGCTCTTCCTTATCCCTTCTGCCTCAGATATTTCATATTTCAGCCTTTTAAACTATTTGTAGTTACCTGGGTACACCACATGGGTTCACGTCTCTGTACCTTCACCCAGAATTCCCTCTCTCACTACCTTCTCTTGCCCTGCCCATCCTGGCAAAATCCTGCTCCATTCTTTTCTCCATTTTTTTGTATTTAAAGGATTTTTTCAATTAGAAATAATTTCAGACTTTAAAAAGTCACAAAATAAAATAGTACAAAACATGCCTATTTCCTCTTCTGGGCTTCTAAGTGCTATTCAGTTATATCACGCCAGGTATGCTCATGAAGTTTGTCCCAACCATTTCCTACCAACACATTCAGGTAACACCAGCTTTCAAACATTTCTGGTTAAGTAAGTGTCTCAAGAGGAGCAGTAAGTCTCCTTTTCTATATTTACTGAAATGGAAGAGCTCCTGTTTCTTTCCTTTGGGAGGGCAGCAAAAAACAAAGTTAATCAGATATGAAATTGGTTCCCTCTACCTTTTCTTGGTGCTTCAAAAATTTAAACTACAGTGAATTCTAAGAAATATAGTGACTCACCAAGAGGAGTGATGAAAATTGCCAAGCTCTTGGCCATAGTCATCATACCGCCTGTCTTGTACTCTGATTACCTAAGAAAGAGAGAGAAAAAACAGGCTAAGTGCCTCCAGGAAGAAACAGGCTGTAATTAACCAGAGGGAGATTTTTTGTCTCCAAGATAGAACTATTCCAGTTTTTAAGAATGGGTTCCATTACTTCTTCTTCTTCTTCTTTTTTAAACTTCTTCTGTTTCTTTCATCAAACTACAATTCACACTCTCTTTTAATCATTATCTCATTTACCTGTCCCTACTAGACTCTGATCTCTTCAGGAAGAAGAGTTAAGTATTAGCTAATTTTCTTTTTTGGAAGCACCTATTCCAGTGCCTGGCAAAGAGGAGGAATTCAAAGATGTTTATTGACTGACTGACTGACTGATGAACTAAATTAGTGAAGAGTAGCAGAAATGAATGAAGGTGTCCTTAAGGTTTTT